ATTTAACCAAAATGCTTTGTGTGTAAATAAAATGGCTCCGTCTGTGTTAAAATACATTTTTAAAAAGTTTACAAAACTAAACAGCCTACAGTATTTTACAGTCTTTATTTTACAGTTAAAATATATGTTTATCAAATAAAGTCTAATGTTACAACTAATTAGGGATCCCTTTAACAACGCATCTGCCCCGAGCACAGCTTTCTCAAACTCTATTTGATCCATCACAGGAGTTTTATGGAGCAGATCCCAAATGCTCACCTGACTACAGCCGAATCATCAACCAGAGGCATTTTAATCGAATCCTGAGCCTGATGGAGGGCTACACCCCCGTGGTGGGGGGGCAGAGTGACTCCTCACAGTGCTACATTGGTAGGAAGATCTCATCTCGTCACAAGCTTCAGGTCATATTTATTTATTCCAACTGTTCCAGAGTGGAATGAGTTAAACAACATGCAGCTTGGAGAAAATGGAATTTATTGTGGATTTTCTTTAATCACAAGGTCCAAAGTATACATATACATGCTGAAATATACACATGATTTTGACCACTCTTCCTGGTAGAATCCATTTTACATGGGCTGGTTTTCTGCCACGGGCCGAGCTTTCAGTCTCAGTCCACCAGCTGTTTAATGTTTATCCAATCAGAACCCAGTTCTAACGTATCATCATCGGAGCATCCAGATGTGTCCAGCAGCCAGAAGACTTTGATCCCACCTGGACCCCTTTAAACATACTTCTTGTTACGGCGGTCAAACATCTACGTCTTTGTCTCGTCTGACCAGAAGCTGTCTTTTAATGTGGGCAAATTTCAGTTGGGCCGTCCKATGAGCGGGGCTTCTTTCTTTATCGTCGCCCTCTCAGTTCATGGTGCCGTAAAACCGCCTTCACTGTGAACACTGATGTTCCAGCAGAGAATCTCCTAAAAAAAGGGTCTTCCTCTGTGTTTTGTGGTCTTTCTCAATAATCTGTGTTGRTTTTATCCAATGAGTGCTGGCTGAGAGCAGACCAGCTGCAGTCAATCAAACCCTGATCCCTAAAAGATCTTAGCCCTAGGAAAATTAAAGATATTAAAGAACTTTCAATAGGTGAGTGTGTATTTGAGCCTGTATATATAAACAGCACAAAAAGTGAGGAAATTAGTGTTTGGTAGATTGTCTCTTGGTTGGTCTGGTCACCTGACTGGCAGCACCTGGGGAACCAGAAGCTCAAAACCAAAGTCAATAGCAACAGSAAAAGAAGCTGTTTGACAGAGATTTGACAAATTCTTCATGTGTACAACCCACATACTCAGCTTTACTGGACTACAAAAACTGTCCATCTAACCAAGATTAAAAACCTTATATCCAGCCAAAAAAAAGTCTTTTTGATTTTGTTTTGAGACTGATTTACTAAACAAGAACTGATTGTGTAAGAATAATCATCTTGTTTTCAGAATGTGTACGATTATTTGTCTTGTTAGTCTGAAAATTTGACTCAAGTCAAAAGTTTCTTACAGAGCCCGCGAGGGGACATGGGAGGAAAAAAAAACGGATCCTGACTTTCGTTCTCAGGATCCCGAGAAAGAAACTCGGGATCCTGAGAACGATTCTCAGGATCCTGATTTACACAAATGGATGTTATTAGCTATTATCAGTCCCATGAAGACTGTCTGTCCTCTACCTCGTAGCTTGGAAGGTAGCCTATCATTTGTAGTCTATGGCTGATAATACACATTAAGGCGCAGTGGGTTTATCTCCTCCCCTGGGATTCGGAGCTCCAGCGGTCGGCCCGGCTCGCTGTCCTTTACCCGAGGAAAGCACACTATCTGCGGCATGCTGATTCAGGCTGTAGCTGGGGGTCGCCCCAGACATTGCTAACAGTTGCTAACAGTTTTCTGGGTCTGCTCAAACATGTTTCAGACTTTAATCTGCTGATCTCTGTGGTGTGTTAAACAATTAGCCTACTGAAACTCATGCTTTTTGTTTGATTTATTTGACGACGAGAGAGGGGAATATAGCTATTTAATCGTAGAAAACCATTAAAACATCAGTGCGATTTGGCTCATAATTCTACGGAGCCCACGATGGGATATGGGAGGAAAAAATAAATAAAAACGGATCCTGACTTTGGTTCTCAGGATGCCGAATTTCTTTCTCAGGATCCCGACTTTGGTTCTCAGGATCCTGACTTTGGTTCTCAGGATCCCGACTTTGGTTCTCAGGATCCT